GAGGAGAGATAGGTGTGGAGGAGGTGAGGTGGAGAGGTGGAGTGTGGAGGAGAAGGAGGGGGAGGAGGAGAAGGAGGAGGAGGAGGAGAAGGAGGAGGAGGAGGAGGAGGAGAAGGAGGAGGAGAAGGAGGAGGAGGAGGAGGAGGAGGAGGAGGAGGAGGAGGAGAAGGAGGGGGAGGAGGAGAAGGAGGGAGGAGGAGAAGAGGAGGAGGAGGAGAAGGAGGAGGAGGAGGAGGAGGAGGAGGAGGAGGAGAAGGAGGAGGAGGAGAAGGAGGAGGAGAGAGAGAGAGAGAGAGAGAGAGAGAGAGAGAGAGAGAGAGAGAGAGATGAGGAGGTTGAGGAGGAGGAGGAGGAGGAGGAGAATGAGGAGAATGAGAAGGAGGTGGAGGTGGAAGGTGAGGGAAGAGGAGGAGGAGGAAGAGGAGGGGAATGAGGAAGACGAGGAGAAGGAAGAGCAAGAAGAGGTGGAGAAAGAGGAGAAGAAGGAGGAGCAGAGGAGGATTGGGGAAGGAGTAGTAGGATGAATAGAAAGAGGGGAAGAGAAGGAAAAGAAGGAAGAGGGAAGAAGAACAGAAGGGGAAAGGGATGATGGAGAGGTTGATATAAATAAAGGAATAAAAAAAAATAGAAATAAAAAAAAACCGTGATGGAAGTGGGCGGGGAGGAGGAAGAGAAAGGAAGAAGATTTATCTACACACCTTTATATAAACATTTTTTTTTTTTTTTTTTTTTTGGGGGGGGGAGTGAATGTGTTTTGAGTGAGTGAATCTAGATAGATAAGTGCGTACAATGTGTGTATGCGTGTGTGTGTGTGTGTTTGTGTGTGTGTTTATGTGTGTTTGTATGTGTGTGTGTGTGTATGTGCATGTGTATGTGTTTGTGTGTATGTCTGTATTGTGTGTGTGTGGGTATTGTGTGTGCGTGTGTGTGTATATATGTGTGTGTGAGTGGGTGTGCGTGCGTGTTTGTGTGTGTGTGTATGTGTATGCGCCTATGTATACATATATACTTACCTGAGTGAGAGAAATACCCCTTTAACTCCATTCCATTCCTCACTTGTAAACCCCTCGATTTTCCCCAATAACCCAAACTCATTTAGATAACCCAGCACGCAACACGACTTTCCTTGCAACACACGATTAACCATTGCGAGCGGATTGCGTCACATATCGAACTGGCGGAGCATGAGGCTTCAGTTGGGGTTTAGATGCTCGCGTTTCTCGCCAAGGAAAACAGGGGAGGCAGCCTTGGCGTTTGGAGGTCTCTCTCTTTCTCTCTCTCTCTCTCTTTCTCTCTCTCTCTCTCTCATTCTCTCTATCTCTCTCATTCTCTCTATCTCTCTGATTCTCTCTCTCTCTCTCTATCTCTCTGATTCTCTCTCTCTCTCTCTCTCTCTCTTTCTCTTTCTCTCTTTCTTTCTTCTTCTCTTCTTCTTCCACTTCTTCTTCTTCTTCTTCTTCTTCTTCTTCTTCTTCTTCTTCTTCTTCTTCTTCTTCTTCTTCTTCTTCTTCTTCTTCTTCTTCTTCTTCTTCTTCTTCTTCTTCTTCTTCTTCTTCTTCTTCTTCTTCTTCTTCTTCTTCTTCTTCTTCTTCTTCTTCTTCTTCTTCTTCTTCTTCTTCTTCTTCTTCTTCTTCTTCTTCTTCTTCTTCTTCTTCTTCTTCTTCTTCTTCTTCTTCTTCTTCTTCTTCTTCTTCTTCTTCTTCTTCTTCTTCTTCTTCTTCTTCTTCTTCTTCTTCTTCTTCTTCTTCTTCTTCTTCTTCTTCTTCTTCTTCTTCTTCTTCTTCTTCTTCTTCTTCTTCTTCTTCTTCTTCTTCTTCTTCTTCTTCTTCTTCTTCTTCTTCTTCTTCTTCTTCTTCTTCTTCTTCTTCTTCTTCTTCTTCTTCTTCTTCTTCTTCTTCTTCTTCTTCTTCTTCTTCTTCTTCTTCTTCTTCTTCTTCTTCTTCTTCTTCTTCTTCTTCTTCTTCTTCTTCTTCTTCTTCTTCTTCTTCTTCTTCTTCTTCTTCTTCTTCTTCTTCTTCTTCTTCTTCTTCTTCTTCTTCTTCTTCTTCTTCTTCTTCTTCTTCTTCTTCTTCTTCTTCTTCTTCTTCTTCTTCTTCTTCTTCTTCTTCTTCTTCTTCTTCTTCTTCTTCTTCTTCTTCTTCTTCTTCTTCTTCTTCTTCTTCTTCTTCTTCTTCTTCTTCTTCTTCTTCTTCTTCTTCTTCTTCTTCTTCTTCTTCTTCTTCTTCTTCTTCTTCTTCTTCTTCTTCTTCTTCTTCTTCTTCTTCTTCTTCTTCTTCTTCTTCTTCTTCTTCTTCTTCTTCTTCTTCTTCTTCTTCTTCTTCTTCTTCTTCTTCTTCTTCTTCTTCTTCTTCTTCTTCTTCTTCTTCTTCTTCTTCTTCTTCTTCTTCTTCTTCTTCTTCTTCTTCTTCTTCTTCTTCTTCTTCTTCTTCTTCTTCTTCTTCTTCTTCTTCTTCTTCTTCTTCTTCTTCTTCTTCTTCTTCTTCTTCTTCTTCTTCTTCTT